TTGAAAAGTATATTTAAAAAAAAATAAAAATATATTTGCTGCAAAAGCACTTAAAAAATAATATTTTTGTCATAATTTTTTAATTAATATCTGTTATAATTTTATCTGGATAAATTTTAAATCTTGGCTCCACCCCTGGAGCTAGGGCCCTCGAATGGCCTAGTTGAAACTCGACCTGAAGGCATGGCTAGTCCATGAATCGACCAGATGAGTAGAGCATATGAGCTTAGCACAGGCAGCACTCCACCTCGAGAGAATTTGAGTCAGTCGCACGAGTAGACTGTCTAATAAGGTAGAAATACGAAGGGATATTATAAAGATAAGATCCACACGTAGATAGCTTAACAGAATTGGGCATCTCCGGCAGTGCAGATGGACAATTCGGGCAGTCTAGGCAACACATTCAGGCACTTTTCGGCAACAAGGTAACACACCCTTATATAAAAAAGTTGAGGTATGTTCATTGCAACATTACATTCTCTACACATACTTACATACAAAGCTTTTACAATTATTCATCGTCTTCTTAATCTATGAACTGACTTGATCGTCGGTGTACTAACGTGAGGAACTCCTCCCGACCCATTTTGCAGGTCTACGAACAAGTCAAAGAGCAGATCCAGGTCGTGTGAACTCGGTCGAGGTCATTTGCACACCATGTTGCTTCAAAAGAACATTTACTAAACCGATATGGTACAAGGTCAAAACGAACGCGGTCGAGGTCATTTGCACACCATGTTGCTTCAAAAGAACATTTACTAAACCGATATGGTACAAGGTCAAAACGGACACAACGTGATAACATGAAAGTGCTAGAGCTATTGTTGTGTGAGTTATTTTCTTGGTACACACAAACTTTTGTTAAGTTCAGATAATGTGTTACTAACTGCTAGTATATTCGATAATATTTAACTTAGAAAAACAATTTATATGTAATAGATTGCAATTGTTATTTCATACACATCCTTAAAACAATTTCCATCAACACATCTAAGCTAGCTCATTAGTCGTGAGTCATCATCATCCTCTCTCAAGTACACTCAACTAATTAATAAGATGACTTCCAATCATAATACTCAGTATCGAAAAGATAAATCCCGTCATCTCTTGCAGACCAATGACATTGATTGTCTTTACAGAACTCCCTCACTGTCTCCTCGTACGCGACAATCACTTGATGCTTTTGTCCCAACTGAAAAGTACACCAAAATTTGGTAGTGTGCCAGATATTAGTGCAGAAAGTCCACCTGAATTCTTGATTTTGACCAATCGTCTTTATTCCTAAATCATCGTCTTTCGAACGACAATGCAATAGTAATGGGCCGTTCACAGATAGCATGTTGGCCACGTGAACCGTGACATTCGAGGTTAGGAAACATTTCTTCTTGATCTCGAGATAAGAGGCGAATGGTGTATGGACAAGGTTGGCTATAATGAAGAGGAACAAAAGCGTGTTTTTGAAATTTGAGCAAGCCATTGCATTTTTGCAGCGTGTATTGTATGATATTGTGTTTTGAGATCTTGTTAGTGTTGGTTGTACATAAATATGAGGTGTTGCCTTTTATAGGCGGCTACAAATTGAAGGAATTGTAAAAGTCGTAGTAATTGTGTAATCCTGTGATAGTAAATTGTACAATTTCCTATGATACTGTCATAAAGTAATATTTGTTTGCCAAAGAGAAATTGGGATTATCTTGCTTTTGGATTACGAGCAACATACATACGAAATATTTGGTAGATTTTGAAGAGATTAAAAAGCATAAAATATTAAATTTAGAATATCCTTGCTAAATTATTAGACCATCTCTATCCATTATCTTTATTCTAGTTTAGAGTTTATTCTAGTGAAACAAAAATTAAGTTGCGTCTCCAATCGTTCGCACTACATTTTTACTTTACAAAATATTTTCTTTTTATTTTCATTATTTTAAAATATTTTTAAGATCCCACTCAAGCTCAACTCAACTAAATTTTTACAAGATTACAACAAATTCAATCAAATCCAAAATAACTTATATCCAATCACTCCCTAATTATCTCTGCCTATAACTACATCATCAACACCAAAAGGTAAAATCACTCTCTAATACAATCAAGTCATACGGAAAACACCAAAAATTAACTTGAGTATCCGAGCGTCTATGTCGAAACCCGTCCTGGTGTTTTGCCGGTTTTTGTACACTGGTTGAAGGCAGTTACCGGTTTAATACACACATCCTAAATTTACTAAATCAAGATAAGGGTGTATTCATTCAAATTCTTTAATATTTTCTTTTTTAGATTAAATGAGTTTTTGCATATTTGTTTGAAATTTTTAAAGATTTAAATAGTTATGATCTACCACTACAAAAAAATTGTTATATTCCAACGGAAAATCCTACGGTAATATAACTTAATGGAAATTCCTGAAATAGCTTCCGTTGGAATGTGTTTTTCATTGGAATTTTAGATGAAATTTGATGATTCCAACGGCTATATTTCCAACGGCTTTTTACCGTAGGAATTTCCGTTGGAATTTTTATTTCCACTCCCGTTGGAAAATCTACCGTTGGAATCGTCAAAATCCAACGGAAATTCCAATGAAAAACTCATTCCAACGGAATATTTTTGTTGGAATTTCCATTGGAATAATTCCAATGAAAATAATAGCATTAAAATATCCGTTGGAATTCCCGTTGAAATTTTATTGAAATATATTTCCGTTGAAATTTCACCATTTTCTTGTAGTGTACTCACTTGAAAATGATATGATTTCTACACCAAATCCCATCTCAAGGCATGAGATTTTTAAGGATTTCAATTTAATAAAAAAATATTACTCTAAGTCCCAAACGATACACATCTCAATATCTCATTGGTTAAATTTTATTTAAACTTGGTTTCTAATACAAATAAAAATAATATTAATGCGAAGATAATACGACAGTTTTCTCTCCAGTCTCGCTCTCACCTACAATATAGATACAAGTTTATATGCTCACCAGTTCGAAAGCCTACAATACATACAAGTTCATATGTGCGACAAGAGATTACTATACAATATAGGTAGGCATGATTTTCATAAACTACAAAAATTTTGATATGTCGTTGGTGGACATATCTTTTTTAAATTTTGGCTTATCCTTAATTATCATTGAAAGAAAATAAATAAATAAAAGACAATATTTATTTGTAAGAAAAATTGATTTTTTTACTAGTTTCATGGTTTCATTTGTCCTAAATGAAGGACTTGGAAATACCTTAAACATTTTAGGGTGAATGAAAAATTAATTCAAAGTTATATATATGGGAATAGATTAATTTTGTAGCTCAAAAGTAGGATAAAGTCTTAACGGACAAGTTCGAAACGCGAAAAAGTCATAAATTGCATGTGGGGTCGTGCAGAAAATGGGCTCATTTCAGAGCGATGACTGTCACAAAGCGACGTCCACACTGGGTTCATGTAGTGGAGCGATGACACTTGTTCTTTGTCCGTGACCAGGGCACGTAGCCCGTCGCGGGCGCGGCCCTTGTCGCACCTTGTCTGTTCCCATTAGGGCTGTTCATTCGATCGAAACCGAACCAAACTTAACCAACTGAATTTTCAGTTAACCGAAAATTTAGTTTATCCATTACAAGAACCGAAAATCGAATAAAAAATTATGAGTATGTTCAGTTTTTAGTAGAAAATCCAGTGGTGTCGGTTCAGTTCGATTATCGATTAATCGCAATAAATAATTAATCTTCTCAATAACTTTTCAATTTTTAACTGAACCAAAAATTTAATTTTTTATCCAAACCAAAAAATTTATTTTTTTATTACCTTGTTTAATCTTTTCAATAAATTTTAATTTCTTCTCTTAGGAAGATCTCGGACTCGAACCATGACTTCGACTATGATGAAGCTAATCTTGAGTGCAAATTAATTCTTGAGCCATTTTAGGGATCATTGAAGTTCGAAAATCATCAATCATTGAAGCAAATTAATGCTTTTATAACTTCTGTGTGTGTATATATCGGTTTTTTGTTCGGTTTAGTTAATCGATCACTATTATCCAAACCAAACTGAAAATCAAAACTTTAAGAAAATGTAAACTAAAAATCGAACCAAATAATCTGATTCGGTTTCGATCCAAACTGAATTGTCTGTTTCAGTTGGTTCAGCTCGGTGAACCAAATTTTGTTCACCCCTAGTTCCCATCCAGAATCATACAGAGCCAAGCGGATATTCGAACACCTATAAATACCCCTAGAATGATATCATTTTATACACTTAATACATTAAACACAAACACATATATATATGCCTATTACAACATAAGATTTTATAAGAATTTTATGTTCATATTTTTCGTTCATTTCTTGAGAAGTTCAAACACAAGTAGTTTTGCCAAAAGCTTGTGTATATAAAATATAAAATGCCACTATACACAAGATAAAAGTTGGTTTATATTGAAGATCACATTTGTCAAAAGCCGTAGGCATTAATTGGTGGCAATTTCATCCTACAGAGAGCGTGTTTCGTGTGTCTCAACTTTATTTATTTATTTAAATTATTTGCTCAAGTTTTGTTTGTGTATCATACTCGGAGTTCGTATTCGTCGTATAATCAAACCGTTCATCACCATTCTCCAGTTTGCTTTT